AAAAGGAAAAAGTAAGAAAAGACACTCTGCTGTGTCCATGCCCTTTTGAGAGCTAAGATTTACAGCTGCTCCCTGAATGTGGCTTGGAGGAGGCACTGACCCTTGGAGCGCTCACTCCCATGAAACGTGTGCTGTCATAATGAAAAAACACAGTAAGATCCTGTGAAGAGTCAGGTCGCAAGGCCCACTGCGAATCCAAGAGCCCGGGCCCTCTCCAAGACCTAGCCCACCTTCCCTGGGAATGCCCCTTCCTACCTCCCAGAGCGTCTAGCAGGACGGTTGGAAGAGACTTGGGCAGCCCTTCTCAGAGAGGTCCTCAGAGGACAAAGGGGCCCTTTTACCACTATCCCCTGAAGGCAGTGGGATGTCCCTTGATCCCATGGAGGGGCCCCTGGCGCCTTTACCCCACTCACACGTACATGTGGGAAAATCTATGTCTGCTCTTCCGTGCTAAGGTTGATTGTCACGTTCAGGTTATCACCAGGGCCCAATAAGGTCGTGGAGAGTCACCAGTGGGACTCAGACTCTCCACACTGTTCTCTGAGCATCTTCCTTGTAAAAGCAGCATCTTCAGAGGGGTGGGAGAGGTGGCTGCTTTTGCTGGCCATTTCCTACAATCCCACATCAAGTGCAAAAACGGCAGGAATATGCCACACCTCACACCCTAAACACCACCATCTCCTGCCTTCACTCCCTGCCTGGCCCACCTGCAGCCTTCCTAAGAGACAGAGGACAGACTCAGCCTAGGAAAAGTAGCAGCATGAGCCTGTCTGCCTTTGCTAGGGAGGACACCAAGAAACAGGGGTGCTGGGGGGCAGCCACAGAGAGAGGAAGGGACAGGAGGGCCGGGCTGGGACCTGCTGTCTGGGTTTGGGGCTAGGACCTGTCTGTGCTGGATTTCGGGAGTAGGGTTAGACTGTGCTCAGTTTGGAGCCTTAGTTGGGGCTCTGAACAGGGGGTAAAGAAGCTTGGGCATGGAGGTAGTCTAGGTCACGGCGCCTCCTATGTGTCCACTCCTGCAAGATGTCTCCCAGCTCTGGCGCAGTGTGGCTGCCTGGGTTGAACCTGAGCAGTAGGATGGCATATCCCTGTTTTCCTATACATGGGGCCCCCTGTCCACCCCAATGATGTCATACCTCGTGGGGAGACCTCCTGGGGAGGGCAGGGTCCTCCCTCCTGGGGAGGGCAAGGTCCACAGGTCACAGGAGCCACATGATGACCACTGGCCAGACCAGTATAAGAACTTCTGAGGAGCCCAGTCTACTGCATAGTCGCCATGGACAGTGACTGTGGCCTGAACCCCTAAATTCTGGAGGAGCTTTCACACAGCAACAGAAACCAAAGCAGGCTTCACTCTTGTTTTTACAAAACTTTGACAGAGGGGCTGGGGATTTAGCTCAGCGGCAAAGCGCCTGCTTGGCAAGCGCAAGGTCGTGAGTTCGGTTCCCGGTACCGGAGAAAAACCAAAAAAAAAAAAAAAAAAAAAACTTTGACAGAGTAGAAAGTGACTTTACAAAGAGAAGCTGCGTTTAACACTGGTCTCCAGAACTGGTTGGGGCTTATGGCATCAAGACCTCACACTGACACATTCTGTTCATCTTGGGTCAGTCTGTATAGGACACTGATCTCCTTTCACAGAGCTGTTTCTGTGTTCACACTGATACTGGGCATTAGTGTGCTCCTCCCTGCTTCACATATCCACACGCACGCACAAGCATGTGCCCTACTCCGCAGATCTGCACAGACACCGCTGCCTGCACCTCACCCCTTCATGCCTCGGGAGCTGGGGTTGACGGGTGGAGGCCACCAGGGGTTCTAGCCTGGCACCCCAGGGCGTGGCTGCCCTCAGGTCTCACCCTGCGCCCTCCACCTTTTGGACGAACATTTTCCACGGACTTTCATCATCAGGAAACATCACTAGCATGGACACACAGAACCTCGGCCCAAACCCTGAAAAGACAGACTCATTTCCACCCACAAGGCAACTGCACAGCCCAGTAAGACTTGGAAAGAGGCACAGCATCTCCCCAAAGCTTTGTCACGGGCAGCGAGGGCTGCTCTGCTCAATGCCCTTGACACAGACCCCACCCACGGCTGCTGGAGTGTCCCAGCAGCCTGGCCAGTGTCCATGATGTCCACAGAAAGGGCCAGCACCTGGAGCCATGAGGGTGACTGCCCCCATCTGCTGGACGCAGCAGCCAGGGTGGAGTACTGTGGAGCTCTGCTCTCACCTGTGAGGGCCTGCTCCCAGCTCCCAAGACCCCATGCCCAGGGCCCAGTGAAGCAGGAGGGCAAGAGCACCCTTTGGCATTCAGAAAAGGTCACCTTCCAACCCAAGCCCTGACCTCCATCCTGAGCTGCCCCAAGCATCCAACACAACAGCACTGATAACAACCACCACGCATGTGCTTAGTGCAGGTAGAACACTGGGGACTGAGGGCAGCCCAGGGAGAACCAAGGGCAGCCCAGGCAGAACTGAGGCCAGCCCCTTCGGCTGAAGCCAGCGCCTCCTGCCCATCTGCCAGCTTCCTCCGTGAGCATCACTTGGCTCACATTTCATCCCCTGTGAGCAGCAATCTGAAACAGAACTTTAAAAGAGGCCAGATGCCTTGTCAGAAGACAAGACAATCGTGCTTTTAATTTGAGTTTAGTAGTTTCTCAAAAAAAAACCCCAAACTAAAGCTTGTCACCAAGGTGAAGGTGGAGGGTGTGGAGTCATGGCCACATGCCCCAGTGCATGGGAAGCACTGGAGGGATGATTTTTGCTGAGGAAACTGAATTTAAGAGAAGAGCACATAGATATTGGTTCCCTCCTTTTGAAAACATACAATTTGTATGTACATATGTGTATCATCTACTGAAATATAAAAATGAAATTTTAAATACTGTCTAGATAAATAACTTCAGCATTCCCATGTTCTGTGAGGTCATGGTACAATCCATATGTGACATCCACTCGTTTAGTGCACTCCTTCTGTGGGTGGGAGGTTCTGCAGACAGTGGGGTGATCAGCCAGCTGACCACCTCCCAGGCAGGGTGGGAAAATACAAATGTCCACTGGCATGAGCCTGAGGTATGGCTGGAAAACTCCCTCAGGCATCCAAGGAAGCTCAACTTTACAGGTGAGAATAAAGCTGTGAAGGTAAGAAGGGAACTTCAGTGAGGATGGCAGTGAGGCTGACAGTGGGCCCCATGTAACTGTGAGCCCCACACATGAGCCAGTAGGTAGCCACTCCTCACCAGGCTGGACAGTGCTAGCCACCATAAGGCAGACCTTACAGGAGCCGGACCCTCCGCGGTGAGGTCATCAGAAGGCGCCCTCATCCTGTCTAGCCCCAAGGACTCTAAACAGGGAAACAGTCCAGAGAGCATCAGGACCCTGCACTGCTGTGCAGCAGTGAGGCACCACAGCGCCACACAGTGCGATCACAAACACCTCACTGAGAGCAGAAAGCAAAGCGCCACATCTGACACTCTTCCCCGCAACACAGAGACACGCCTGAGACTCTGAAGGTTGAATTATTTCAGAATTAGCCTCCCCTAGAGAAGGGTGTGGGCAATGCAAATTCTCCTTATCATTGCACTTAGCTGGGTTTTCTCTATAATTTAAAACATATTTTCCAATTATGTGCATGATTACATAGGCAAGCCAAGTTAAACGTGAAAGACGTCTAAGCCCGTGTTGATTGAAGTACTTAAATTTCCTGCAAACTGTACAAAATCAAGATCCCATTATGAAGGCTGAATGCCTCAGTGGTTTTCAGTGATTAGGGTAAGTACAGGACTAGCCGCCTTCAAGAAAATTCCAGTTAGTAAATGTGAAAAAGGAAAAAAGCTACCAAACACTATCCTTATGTAGATTGCTGCTTTGTTGGCTCACACTGGGCAGAGGCATGGCATCCTGGGATGCCACTCCTGGGCAGAGGACAAGGGGAGCCTATGCCAGAGGTCCAGATCAGCATAGGAACCCAGTTCCAAACACACAACTCCAAAGTCTTTGAGGCAGCGGGGTCGCATGGTGCCATGAGAGCAAGGCGACACCCCTCTGGGCCATGGCACACTCATCCTCTTGCACCTGAGACATGCCTGCATGGTTTACCTTTCTGTCTTTGCAACTAGGCACTAGTGAACACAGACTCTTTGTGTATCTCTAGCCCCTCTGGCCAACACAGCCTTGCCCAGTGAACACCTACACCTGGAGCCAGCAAGTCCCTGCCATGCTAGACAGCTGAGTTCCTGAAGTCAGTTGAGGTGGCCAGAGACATGACAGCCCCAGGAAAACACCCCAAGCCACTCAAATCTTACCCTTGGCACCAGAAGCCAACTGGGTATTCCAGGCTGAGCCAGGGTAAGAACAAGGTCTGCTGAAACCAAGGGGAGGCTGTGCTCCAGCACCTCCCAGGGGTCCTCAGGGTGGTGAGGTCCTCTTGGGCTTGTAGACACAGAGATCACACGCACACACATACACACAGCTGTGGCTCTGAGGGTCAATGACGAGAACAAGAACAGCAGCACGAGGTCTGAGGCATCCAGCCACAGACACCCATGTCAGCAGGCCTCTGTGCCCATCCCTTCCTGCTACCAACTGGCTGCTTCTTGTCTGGTTGGCCTCTCTGAGGAGGTGGGAGGAACTCTCCCTGAGCCAGGGAGAGAAGAAGCCCTCACCATATGTGGCCAAAGGGGAAGGGCTGAGAGGGAGAGCTGTCCAGGAAGCTGAGAGAGGTGCTGGCCCTGGGGCTCACTGCAGGCAGACCAGGGACCCACAGCACAACAAATAAACCCTTTCAAACACTGCAGGCTGCCCCTAGTACAATCACATTCAGAAGGATGGACCTGGAAGACCTGCAACAGCAAGAACTCGCTGGAGGACTCAGACGCGGGTGCACAGAGCCACCATGTGGGCCTCATACCTGCCCATTCCATGACTGGCCTGTCCCTCACCAACCAGAAGTCAACTCCCACCAGCAGGAAACTCAGACAGCCAGTTTTAAAGAATGTACCTGGAGCCTTCTCCACAAAAATGACCTTGGAGTCCTGTAGAAAGTTATGGCCAGAGAGGACCATCTTCTTCCCACCGATGACCGGGTAGCTGTCTGTGCTCTGCTTCTCCACGAGGGGCAGCTCTTGGGCTGACCGCTGGGCTGTGTTGGACAAGGAGAGGTCAGTGAGCCAAGCCCTTGTATTCACCGCCTAGAGGGAGCTGAGCTGAGGACACTGAGGCTCGCAGCGCACTGCCTCCTGACACAACTGCCCAGAGCAAAGGGCCAAGACACTGCCCAAACCCGGGATGAACCTGGATTGTAGCACGTAACTGCTCTAACTAAAGACTTTCAGCAGTTGGAACAAACACCTATCACGACACATTTTAAGGAAGCTGGAAGCGGGCTCCACTGAGGGGGCTGAGTGTGCCTAGCACTAGACTGATGGCCTCAAGTGTGGGCTGGGGTCCTGACTGTAAAGATGGGAGACCACAGGATAGAAGGAGCCAGGTCATGGAAGGCAGGGCAGAGGGGACCCCGGACAAGGTCGGCCCCACCTCACCAAGATGAGACCAGGCCTCAGGACGGCGAGGTAGCTCACTGGAACCACCAAGTCCATGCCTAGTCACAAACACAAACTGCCCTACATGGGTGGGGGAGCAAAGAGATGTCTGGGAGATGACAGGGAAAACAGGAGCGGGGCACATGGTTTTTCTGGTTGGAGACTGTGAGAAGACTCAGGTCACTGCCAAGGAAGACAGGCTGGAGACTCAGGTGGGCACCCAGAGTGACCTGCACCATGTGCTGCTCAGGACCTTGAGGTGAGAGTTTCTGACACCTTCTCCTGGGGTATTTGTCCTTTGGGTGACAATGGCCAAGAAGCCAGAGGACAGACAGAACCACGAAGAAGTCAGTGGATGGAACAGGGGCCAAGGGCTGGCTGGGCCTGTCTACACTCCCTTGTGGGTCTGGGTCACCCCTTGAAGGTCCAATCCTCAGAACGGGTAAGAAGGCTTGTGGGTGCAGAGAGTGACCGGAGGGGAGGCTGACACCGGGCTCTGATGTTCCCATACAGAGCTGGTTAGGGACTTGACTCACTAACCAAGCATCAGCAAAGCAGCACCAAAGGAAGGCTGGAGTCCTGATGTCACCCCCCACCCAAAACAACCACCTCTGCACCAAGGCCAGGAAGCACCCAAACCACACTCGGCTGTGGTCTATTACAATTTAAAGGGGCAAAACCCCAGGAAGACGAACAGTCCTATATCAGCTTACACAGTTCCCATTTGGGTGGTGTAGCGCAGTGGTAGAGCACTTGCTCAGCATTCAGGAAGTCCTGGTTTCATTCCCAGCACAGCGAAACAAAGAAAAAACATTTAGGCTGGTTTAGTCTGAAGGACTACCGTGCATTTTTGCTCCCCAAAACCTTAATAGAGAATTAATTCAAATGTGGGTGACACTTCTCTCTCAGAGCTTCCAGGCAGGCCCTGATTTCTGTTTTCTCCTATGGGTGCTGGGGTCAGGACAGCAGGGTCTCCAGGCAGGGTCTGTGCCTGCAATGTGGGGCTCACCCGGACTCTACAGTCAACACTGAGATCAGGCTCATCTGGAGGGGACGCGCACAGAAACAGGCACACCAGACGGGAAGAGCCAGGCCATGGTCTATCCAAATGAAGTGAAGAAGCGGGAGACGGACCAGTTTCAGCTGCCCATCTCTGCAGGTCTACTTACAGCACTCAATGGGGTTCGAGGCGACCTGGAGGGACAGCGTCCGGCCACTGGGCTGTGGGACGTGCACTCGGAAGACCAGCCGCACCCTGGTGTTCTTCCGCCCGATGTCAGTCTCCCCTTTCCGCAGCTCGATGTCAGAGTTTCTGAGCTTTAGAATCCCAGCACAGTCGATGCTGCCCAAAACAAAAGGCCATGGCTTGCCTTCAGTCACTGGCGCCTCCCCTCACCAGGCTGCCCCCATCCAGGCCCAAAAGGATAGGCTGTCAGCCCCAGCTGAGTCCCACCTCCTCACAGGAGAGCAGGCCAGCTGGAGTTGCTCACTGTCCCTTGTGAGCTGCAGGGGATCTCGCGTCCACACCTGGCCATGAACAGGAAGTGAAGGGGCTGCGTAGACATGCCCTCCACCCCTGGCCAGAAGGGAACCACACACTCACTGTCCCTGCTGCCCCAGGCTATGTCCTGACTGTGGCCCGCTCGCTGCAGCAGCCCAGGAGGAAGAGCAGCAGGCCCTGCGCCTTGTGTGTGCATCCCACCACTCTCCCAGGAAGCCAGCGCACTCCCGGGCTAGACCACTGCTCCCCTCACTCAGGTTCAAATTCTTCATTTTCTTGTAAACTCCTTCCTAGGGTTTTATGTAACTTCATAATTTCTTTCAAATTTAGACTCCAGTAGAATCCTCCTCCATGTATAAATTCTTGATGCAATAAAATCCAATACTTTTCCTTCCTTGATTGGCTAAGAAAAGAGACTGAGACCTATATGCGTCTCTCCTACCCATTAAGGGGTCACATGGAGACCAGTGAGTCAGTATGGAGAGCAAGAAGTGCTGTCCGCTAGGCATATCCTGAGACACGTGGAGCCGTGTGTGCCAGGGGGCATTCCGTTCCTGGGGTGCACTGTGGCACAGCACAGCAACCACTGGCTTCACAGTTCCTGTGGCTGAAGGAACACAAAGCTTCTTTTGGATCCTCTGGCCTTATCCCAGACCTTGGAAAACCTGGATTACAGCTTGGGAAGGAAACCCACAGATTCTAAATGAAGTCAACTGTAGTCAGTTCTCTCAAATTCAGGATGAACCAACATGGAGAGAGAGCTCTCCCTTTGTTTTCAATCAGAGGGTTTAAAAGTTATAATTAACTTATTAGGATCTAAACAAAGTCCTGCATGATCCAGCCCTTACCTGCCTCATCTGCATTCTCCCTGTCACCATGCCGACCTGGACACACTGATCTCCTCATTGGCCAATAAGTGCCCCAAATTCCCCCTTGCCCTATGGCTTTTTGCATGTGGCTAATGAGCACTCCACATACCCGGCCCCTCCTGCACATCAGCTCTCAGCTAAATGGTACGTGCAGGGAGACACCGTCCCTGCCCTGCCATCAAGAGCAGCTCCAAGCCATCTCGCACCTCTCCTAGCTCACTTACTGGGAGTTTTTATTATCACCACCTCACCTTTGCTTCTCTGTCTGCGTATGTGTGTTAATTATCTGCCTGTGCCCACCATGGATCCCCAGTACAAGGCAAACACCATGGGTACAATCAGTATGCCCTCTGCCTCTTTCTCCTGCATTCACAGTTTGGGGTGATGAGTGTGGCACATACTTGTCACTCAGTTCTTAGGATTAAGTGAATACACCCTTTCTTCTATTACCCAATGTGTCTTCTGCTTATTGATAAATTCCTCAATAAGCTAACTTGACTCTGCATGCCAGAACTGGCCATATCAGCAATGTCAGCAACTCTTAGAGTGAAAATACTATCTAGAGATATTGCTCTCTTTCGTTTTTCAACGTTTGCATTTCAGACATTCTTCTAATTTGCACTCCTATATTCAGAAATAAATAGGTGTCATATTTAGGAGCCAAATGAGGCACTTGGGGGAGGTATTTACAGCTGTGTAATGGAGATGCTTATTTTAAGTGGCAATACACACAGTGGCTGAAACCCTAGAAAGAAACAAATCCACTGTCATAAATATTTGCAAAGTTTATTTAGATGCTAAGCCACAACACCCAGCCTGGAGCTGTGGGAAAGCCCCAGGATGCAGAGGCAAAGCAGTGTTGCCCACAGTCAGAGCCCCCAGAGGCTTACATGGCTCGCATGTTATTTTCCGGCAGCAGCGGGATCTCCAGGACTTTGGTGTTGGACAGGATGGCCTCATGGCTGGTGGTGGAAACAGTTTTCCCTGTGATCCGGTGGACCTGGTAGAAGGCATGGGGCCGCAGCAGGCGGTCGTCCGCCGTCCCAATGAACAGCTGTAGAGTGAGTGGCTCATTTTCCAAGTAACCATGTAGCTGGCAAGAGAACAAAACACTCCCACTAAGCAGCATGCACACAAACTTCAGGGAATCAATTATATGTGTACCAGCACACTCTAACTCAAAAAGAAAGCTGCAACAGGTGCCAAGTGTCCAGTACAGCTGCCCCTTTTATTTCTCTGTAATAATCATGTAATATTGGTACTTCTTAAAACTTGCAAAATGCCTTGTGATCCTGAAGGTCTTGGGGCACACAGGTTAGGCTTTAAGCACTCCTGTTCTACTTTCACATATGTATAGCTCATACACATCTGCACAAGGCAGTGTGCACACATGCTTCAACAACAATGACAACCACAATCGTGCCGTGTTCATCTCCTGTCCAGGCACAGCTAGTGGCAAGGTGCCTGCAGCAGCCTGCCAAGTTACCCCTCTGTCCTGTGTGCATTGTGTAAGTAGCTTCTAAGGAAGCAAACACCCTCCTTCTGGAGCAAGTGAATGGCGTAGAGATGGAGGGCAGTTGGGCAGTTGAGGTGATCACCTCCAAAATCTGAGAGCTAAGGCTATGCTCTGCCTCATACATACATCCAGGCACAGCAGCAAAGGGACAGGACCTACTTCTCCTTTTTCACTTAAGGTGAACTGAGCAGAGAACAAAGTCCAAACCTTCTGAGTAAACACTATATTTGCAAACAAACACAAAATTGGACTTGTACCAAGGTGCATCTCTTTTCTGACTGGCTGGGTGCACCTCTCTTTATTCAGAAGCATGTAGCAGCCATGGTCACACTGCTGATACCCAGGAGATCTGTAGGCAGGTTAGCTCAGCAACCACCAGCCAGTGGTGGACTCCACACAGTAGAACTGCCATGGACATTCCACCACCCTCTCTACTTGGTATAGCCATGGCCTTGGGCACAGAATGTACACAGCTCAAACAAGGCATGACAAGCCAGATCCAGAGCAATTCCAGATGCTTCTGCCAGGACATAAGTGGGCAACCCTAAGCCTGTACTTCAGAGGATGTCCTACATCTTAGTCAAGGTGGTGAAAACCTGCCACCCTCTGAGCACCTTTGTTCATTCTAGCCTCAGAGTCCAGAGAGCTGAACACTCCACGAGTATACCCAGCTGCACCCCAGAAGGCCCTGCAGCACTCCAAAGGAAGCTCAGGTTAGATAATACACATATGGGAACCCAGAGCCACCTGTGTCTGGCACAAGCTGTAAGGTCTCCACTGCATGGGAAGCACAGCCTCCTCCTCCTCCTCCTCCTGTTGGCTATCTCGCCAGCAACTAAGCCCAGAGCCTGATGAGCAGCTTCAAGGGAAGTTATGGTTGCTGTCATCCTGAGGCCTGATCTCCTGTGAGGCAGGCAGAGGGGCTGGGAACTGGGCCATGGCACTCAGAGGCAAGGCTGGTATGAGGGCAGAGACGTGCAGATGGGCCAAGGAGACCAACAGGAGTTTGGTTTATTGATACAGAGCAGGAGGCTAAGGAACAGAAACACCTTGTGCCCCTTAGAGGTCCAACAGCAACACAAAGCAAAGCTCAAAGAGGCAAAGAAATCCCAGCCACAAAATGTTCCCACAAATTCTCAGAAAGGACAAGAGAAAGTAAGATAACATGGGAAAAGAGAAACACGGAACCACCCCTAGGTCTAACCTATTTTCTGCTTGACTTGAAGCATAATTCCAACCTCATGGGCTGGTAGAGGTCTGTGACTTTCCTTTTTTAATATGCCACTTTGGAAAAAACAATGAACTTCAGAAATGGGAAACAGAAAATCAGACATTGCAATTAGTTACTGCTAGATTTTGATGTGGGTGATGGGTGTTGACTTTTTACAAGGGCCTGGCCCCTCGCACGTCCTTCATGCAAAGAGCGGTAGCCACAGCCTCTGGCTTGATGCAAGCTGGGCTGCTCATTATGAGAGGCCCAGGCACCATGATTTTCATTAACTCTTCCGAACCACCAGCACGTGGCACTTGGCCAGCACTAACACTGCCACAAGATAAAAGGACCCTGGGCTGAGAGCACACTTCAAACAGGTACAGCCTGCATCCTCTCGTTCAATTATCAGCCCCACAGCCACCAGCAGCAGGAAAAAAATGTGTTCTCTATTGCATCAAAGCCTAACTCAAGTGCAGACACAGTAATTTGCCGCCTCAATGAGCACAGGAGGCCTGGTTCCAGGACCTGGCTGGGTGGGAGTTTCAACAAAGGGCACATTTCCTAAAGGGCTTTGAGAGCCTCTGTTAAAAGTGAAAGCATGTTGCTTCCACGTGGGCAAGGAGGTACCCAGCCCACCCCAAACTCAGTGCTCAGGAGGACCTGTTCTTCTCTGCCCTAACTCACACTGGATGTGACACTGGGAGTAACTGAGGAGGAGGCAGAACCAGGCAGTGGCTGGTCAAGGGCTGACCCTTAACTCTCAGAGGTTTGTATGTAGCAAAAGTTTGTTTCCCCTGCCCCCAGCCCTCCGGAGCACACGGGGAGGTCTTTCTAGGTCTGCTAACTTCCTCCTCCTTCATCTGACTGAGACTCTTCAGCACATGCAAAGGAGCTGAATTTAAGAGTAACAAGGAAAAAGCTGGCTGTGGTGGGACATGCCCTTTACCCTAGCATTCTGGAAGGCTGAATTCAGGAGGTAATGTAATGAGACCCTGTCTCAAAGTAAAAAGTAAAAACAATGGCCAAGGATATAGCTTCATCTGTAGTATGGGGTGTGGGGAGGCTAAGAAATGGCTGAGAGCCCCTCATGATTTCACTGATGTCTGCATTCACAGCACAGCTCAGACCCGCAGAAACCACCCATGAAAACCAAAAAAGACCTGGCCACCATTTGGACTTCCTCAGTTGAAAATGAAGACATCAAAAAAGGATCCATCAGTGACTGGAGTTCTGGAGAGAGATTCAGTGTGCGTGAGCTGAGTGTCAAGAGTAGGACACACTTCTAGTTCACCCTTGAGGGCAGACTTGGGGATCAGGGGCAGAGGACACAAGTCTCAGGTGTGACAGCCCGATCCACAGGGCCAGTGTCAGCTAAGGAACTGCCAGCAGGTCAAATCACCAACGGCCCTGTCAGCCCATCCGCCTGTCCCCTTCGTGATGCACCCCACAGAGGCCACAATGTGTGTCTGAGAAGCTGTACTGGCTGCTGAGGCCCGCGTGAATCTTCCACCCGGCCATCTCCAGACACTGTGTGGGGTGCTGTAGCGTGTCTCTAGGCAGTGTGCCTGGCAGCTCTGATTAATGCTTAAAGCCAGTGCTTGTCACAGGCAGCAGAGTGGCCAATGGGGGCTCTGAACATCACTTGTAGGCTTCACAAGGAAAGAGGATGGGTTTTTTGTAGGATGGGTCTGTGTAACAGGTGGACACAGAAATAATGTCAGTTCCTAGTGGTCCTCAGACACTCTCTGCATGTGCTCTGGAACACCGGCTCTGCTCTGGATGAGTTCTTGCAGGAAGACGTATGTACCTTTGTGTATGACATGGTCACAGCACCCATGGACTGATCACTTCAAACTGATTCTTTCATTACAAGTTGAGTGTTCCTCCTGACGTACATGTGTAAGGATAAACTTGCAGAGGATGCCTGCTGAATCCCTGGTCTCCCTGGAGGAGCCCCGGGTGCCCAGGTAGAAAGCTTCAGTCAGCACAAGGTACAGTGAGAAAGTAGGGTGTCCTACCCACACCTCTATCCCTATGTGCCTGGCCATATCTGAAGTTAGCCCCAAATCTTGTGTGTCAGAAGGTGGCTGCATCGTGGGGGCATATAGCTGACTTGCTGTTAGAAGGTGGGGTCTGGTTTGCTTCTCTCCCTGGCCCCTCCATTCACTCTCTCTGCTTCCTGGCCACCATGCCCATCTGCCATGCAGTCCTGCTTTGGAGCTGACCCTGGGCTGCAAGCATGAGTCAAAATAAATCTCTCCTCCTTTAAGTTGTGGGCATGGGGTACTGTGTCTCAGGGATGAAGAAAGTAACCAAGAAACCAGCTGAACACAGATGCTACAGTCTCATGCAGAGGCCCATCCATGTAGAAAGTCGGCCTCTACCGCACGGTTCAGAGCGGTTGTTCCTAGCACTGCCTAACTCTACAGGAACAAAATGCCTTTCCCTTTAGAATAACAGATCCTTTTTGTATGAAAACATGAGTCTCTGCAGTGAGTGTCCAGCTGAGATGAGAGACCAGGACCACCCCATCCAGTCTGTTCAACTCCCAAGGAGTAAGATGGCAGTCCTTCACCTACTTAATGAACTTACTATGAAACTATTATTCTATGGGACAAAAGATGGCTATACAATGGGAAATGTAAAGAAAAGCAGAGAGTCAGAGGTAAATTTTGTCATTTAGTATTCCATTTCATGAAATTTAACACAGGAATATGTAAATGGGTCTTTGGCCAATGCTCTCAAATGGGCAGGGCCTAGAGCAGCCTAAGGGCTCTAGCCCAGCCTCGCTGAGGTCAGATGATTATAAAGTGACAATTCAAGACTCCCTAGGGCCCCTGCTGTGGCAGTTCTCTGATGGCCAGGGAAGACAGTGAATTTTGGGTATAATTTTATTCTTTAGAAAAACGCCATTTCAGTGAAAATGAGAATATTTAAGGTTTAACCTGGGAGATAAACATCTATTATTTAAAACATGAAGTTCATTTTAAGGAAAGAAATTTGAACTACTTTACACATTGCTGGCATGGGCCTTCTGCCTCTGGCACGTAACAGTGTCTGTCAGAATAGAGTTTATGAAGTTACCTGTCATGACAATGACCTCTCTGCTTCCACCTCAACTAAACAAAATGCATTATTCTGTTTGCAAGGTGTAAGGGCCATGAGTTTCCTTGCATTAAAATGTTTGTTTTTAGCTCCGCTGCTTACCTCAGCACTTACACAGTGGGATGACAAGTGAACAGAACAAAGGAGGACAATTTATTCAGGGCTAGAGCTCAACCCAAGCTCCTACCACAGCAGAGGAAGACACTGGATTTACAAAGAGCTGCTAATTGCTGGAAATCGACTGCCTTTCAACTAGTCA